TTTCTATCGAAACTTAGTACCATGGATAAGGGCTGAGATACGTCTTATCCAAGTTAGTACCTGCGGCTACATCCCTATATTTTAACAAGAATATTCATTGTTCGTTCAATGTTCATATGCTGACGCTAGACAATGCGCTCAAACATAGACCTCTGTACGGTGTACAGAGGTCTATGGCTCAAAAAAACCCGTCAGTTTCTGGCTAGCAGCAGATTTCCAGGAGTGACTTGCATGCGTGCTCTGTTGGCGTGTCCGTCTCGCCGGGTTTGTTCTGCTCTGTTACTCGGGTCAGGCCGGGGTCACCAGCCGTGCCCATACATTGTGGCTGTGCAGCGCCGGGCCGCCGGCTGCGTCGCTCGGTGTGTGCGTCGTTCTTTGTCTGTCGGTAATTGCGCGTGAGGGCGGGGTGCGCCGGCGTCCCCTCGGCACCCCGGCGGCCTCATCCTGCCCGCGGGCGCGGGCGGCGGTATGTGGGCGCTGTGGACCGGAGAGGCGCCGCCGGCCGGATTCCGGCGCTGAATGGCCGGTCCGCCAGCTGCCGAGCCGGCCCAGGCTCTACTGCGCAGTTCGCTGCGTCAACAGGCGCCGCAGCGGGCAAAGCGGGCGTCGGGACGCCGCGTCCCCGGCGGCCGGCGCTGGCCGTCCGGCCGTACCGGGCCGGCGCGGCGGGTAATTTCCACTGGCCGCTGCACGGTCGGCGCAGTGGCTCGGCCGACGCTGCGTGGCGCGCTGACGCACACGCGTGGGGCGTGCGGAGGCGGCCGGCCCGCTCAATACGCCGCCACCGCTGCCGCTCGCCTACTGCGTCACTGCCGAACGGCTGAGCGTCAACATGTTGATGCAGTCCTGCCGAAAAACAGCTCAACCTCACACGTGGGCCCGCGGCGAAAGTTCAGCACGACGCCGATTTGGTGCGCTATTTCAGTAGATCCTGAAAAACAAGCAGAATATTTTACGGGTTTGAAACTGCATGCTAATTGAAAACAAGGTTTATTTTTCATAGCACGTGGCTAATATCTCTAAGAAGATCGGTAGTGTGATGTCCTTGCCAGACGGTATACCAGTACAGAGGTGAAGCCTCATTCAAACCCTTTGGGTCCTCTTGAACCCACACCCGTCTGTGGCGCCGGAGGTCACCTTCAATGCGATCGCCAGTGGGGAGTGCCCTCAGACCAAAGGCATCCGATCGTGAGGCCATAATCCCGGTTTGTAGGCTTTGCAGGCTGCACGGTGCATGCGAGGTGAACTGAACCCATGGCACGACTGCCCCGGGCCGAATGCCGCACCGATCGGCCATTTGCGGTGGATATTTACGTGCGACGTTTCGTGGAATCGATGGTCTGTCGGCCGCCCCGGGCTGGGAGTCCCGGCCCGGCCCCGGTGACTTGAGCCGGGCTCCGGCGGTCCCTGGCACGCCAATGGTTCTCCGGCCCATGGGTAAACACCGGCGTCAGACGGCCCGCAGCTGGTTGGGTGCCGCGCTCGAACCGAACAAAGAAAGGGGCTGGTCGTCTGTGTATGTGCGCTTCTGCGTGACGTGCTCTGCGTACGCACGGATTTTGTGGAGTCCTCCGTCCTGAAAGCGGGAAAGTAGTGGTGGCACATGTGCCATATCATTATAAACGGTTACTTTCAATAAGAACATGCAGTTTCCGAACTTTGCCAAGCAGTTGTCAGTAGTGTGTTCGCGGTTGGTTGTACTGTCCATCTACTGCTTCTCCATTTTTGTGCCTATTTTCACCCGAATTTCAAATGAATGTTGGCTCGAAACCATCTATTATTTTTTCTGAGAATGAAATCAAACCGCAGTCTCACTGTTCGGAAGCCTACCTATAACCACAAACTTTTATATAGAGAAAGATATCTATGGTGTAACTTCATTGCGGTGTGGTCGCTTTGATTGCCTCAGCCGGACGACCGGCTCTTCTGTAACCGTCCATGGCCGCTGGTCAAGTTACGCTGACAACCCTTCCATCAGTCAGCAATTCTGTAACGTGGATGTTTCTCGAAGCCGCTGAACCGGTTGTAAGTTGTGACCTCGGTGATTCGTCCGTGTGAGGACGCTCGTGTCCGTGTGCTGCGCTGGAAGGGTGATACAACCACGGCTCAGGGACATAGCGAGCTCAGCTGATAGCACAGCGACTCTGAAATGTGATGAACCATGGCTCATAGGACGCGAACGATAGTCGATATTGATTAAGATTCTTTGTTGGGTCACCATGGCACGAACACTTCTTATCGACTAATCGGTGCTTTAGCGTTCAATTGAATTAACCGTACTGCCTTTTGAACAAAATTATCTTACCGTACTAGTTTGAGAATATTATAAAATGTCCCCACGTGGTCGATGTTCTTTGTTCGCGGTTTGACCGTCTCCGTCCCTGGTGGCGCCGCTCGGGTCGGGTCGGGGCTGTGGACGGCCATTTGATCCCCTGATCGGGGTGCCCGTAGTCGGGTGCTCAGATGTCCGGTAATCCGGGCCGCCACCCAGCTGACTGGGAGAGGGGGAGGGGTGTCCCCTGTCCACCGGTCGGCCCATTGACGGTGGCCCCGTTCACTGAGGCGGCGCCCCCGTCACCGGCAGGCAGTCCCTTCCGGCCCCTCCCGGCGGGGGACCGGCGTCCGTAACAGAGGGGTGGCTTATCAGCTGACCCAGGGGGCCTCGCCAGCTGAATGGATGTTATCTGGATTTTTCCACTGCTGCAGCTGATTAGAGACGTTGTTATTCGTGCTCGTGACCACTGACCAGAGGAAATTTAGGTAATAAGCGTCCATCAATGGTGATGGTCACTGGTCAGTAGATCTCATTGAGTCCTATACCTGGGTATATTGTATTAATCGCACTCGTTAATTCTTTCTGTTTTTACATTTTGGAGAAAGATATTGTTCGCTATTTGTCTCAGAACACCGCAGATGTTCATTCGAAGACACTTCCTTCGCAGAGCGTTTCTTCCGACGATTCTGCTTCTCTAGTGGTAAATGGATCACTAAGAGGGACTTTTTTCCTGAATTGTGCATTTTCTGGAATTGGGTAGGTAATGTCATCCCGGTCCTGAATAAGTGATAGCAAATGTTGAACTCCAAAAGAAATGTCAACGGTTTTGTTGTTTAACTCTATGAATACCATTGGTTGGTCGCTAGACCATTGTCCATGGGCTTCGGGCAGTGGGCAATGTTGCTGTTCAACAATTTTTGCTAAAAAAAAACTTCATTGCCGTAATAGCATTTGCTTTGGCATTGAAAACGCCGCTTCACTAGCAGAAGGGGTCCTTGGGATGAAAGCTTTCGTTGATACGACCAAGTGCACCAATGGAATCTGCAGCAAAACTCGCCAAGCAAAGTTCACCAAGCAACTGTGACGCCGGAGCAAAGGTGAATTTTTCGACCTCATAGCCCATAGGCGCCATAGGTAAGTCAATGGGAGAAAATCAAACCGCGCCCTTTGGAGCAAAAATCGCACTTAACACATTTAAGTTTTTAATTCGTTTAGTGCTTGCTGAATGTAAGGCGTTGAAATCGTTTGTTTTTGAATGACCTCCTTACAAAATTATACTTTTCATTCATGTATTTTTGTTTTAGATGAATTTTCGGCCAAAAATACATGAATGAAAAGTATAATTTTGTAAGGAGGTCATTCAAAAACCATTAAACATTTAAGTTTTGTTTGAAACCGTGACTCCATTCCCGTAGCGTAGGTCATGTAAGGTCATGGAGGGTCACAACACAAATAAGTATGACAATAACTTTTGAAATGAATTTCATGGGGCGATTAAAACACCTTAGATGTGTTCAGGTCAACCATGACGATCGGTCGATATGCAGCGTGACGTTTTCGGGTAAGGTCGTGACCTTGAACTTAGGTCAGATTGTCAAGTTGACCTTCAGTTCATTCGACGCGTCTCGACGTCAGAAGGGCGATGCGGTAAAATAAGCGTAAAAACTTAATATCAAAAGTTATTAGAGAAAACTATTTTTTTCACACAAAAAAGGAAATCTATTTAGACAGACACTTTTTACGACTACGATTTCAGTCCGGCCTTTTTTGCCCCGGCGTTCCTCAAGAGGCTTGTTAGCCGCCTTAGGTCTAATCTGGGTACTCATTAGTGAAAGAGCTTTAAAATGCCTATCGAATGCGTTTCACCACGCGATCTAGCTTTATTTGTGCACTTTTAACGTGAATTAAAAAAGTAAATTTTGGGGAAATTTGACTTTGATTTTCTTTGCTAACCTCGCCTAACCTAACAAATGTTCGAAGTATTTTTTTTTCGCTATTTTTCGTGCCTTTCCAATGCCACAATCGTCTACATTCGAACTTTTGCAATTCCCACTGTCCACTGATATCCTACGTGCAGGAAGCAATCATTTCACAGGAATGCTTTATGCTAAGCCACGCTTTTGAGTTTTGATTTTGTTGGTGATGGGTAGGGCTTTTGTTCAAGCAAAATATGTCTTAATAATTTTGACAAGGTTAAGTGAACTTGTTCTTGCTCATTGTACCTACAATGGCAATTGACAACCTTAATTCAAAATGCAGTTTTCAGTAAATATATCTTTGAAATGCTAACACGCCGCTCAAATGTTTCTAATGAATAGCACCAGCGTGTTACTGTTGTTGACTGTGTCCGTTTGTTTCAGTTGAGATTGTTTCCCTGCGCTGATGAGCCACCGTTGGTGCCTGGGCTTCGTGAACACGCAGTGAAGGTGCCCTTTCTTTGTCCGATGCTGCCGCCGGGACCCGCCGCCGCCGTCCCTCCCAGCGTCCATGGGGCCGGGGTGTGCTACGGTTTCAGTCCGACCTTTTTAGCCCCAGCGTTCCACCCCGCTTGGGCCCCTGCTGCTGGGGCCCGTCAGCGGCCAGGGCTGAGGAGACGACCCAGCGACCGGCACCCGGGTGTTATTATTGGGCCGGCCTACGTGAAACCTCACCAGCCGTGCTAGCTGCACGCTGATTGGTCGAGCGACGCTCCGCCTCTGACGTCAGAGGGGCACTCGGAATGACCTTGCCGCGCGCTAGAAAGCGGGCACAGTGCAAGAGAGACTAGCGAGCTAGAAGGTTTAGTGGGAGTGTGGCTGTTTCCCACCGTCCACAAGGACAAAGGCTGTGTCACCAGTGTGTTTGCTGGTCAGAACACTTGGTTGAGCGTGAAGAAATTACTGGGTGAAAGGCACAAAGCACTACGGCCGTTCCTGTCTGTGCCACCCTGTCTCTAGTCCAGTGCGAGAACCAAAAGAAGCGATCATATCAAGACTTGGCACTCGAAGCCTCGCGCCGAGAGAAGTGGCTGAATCTGTCTGTCTGACTGTCGCATACTGTCGAGATCATCATCATGAAGTCCGAGGTGATGGCCGCGTCCGACTTCATCGTCAACCTGCTGCGCATGAGCAGCCCGGGCAGCCTCAGCGAGCGCGAGCTCCTCCGGTTCCGGGACACGCTGGCGCTGGTTATGCGGAACCACTACCACAACCACTGGTTCCCCGAGAAGTCGTACAAGGGCTCCGGCTACCGGTGCATCCGCATCAACGGCCAGATGGACCCTCTGGTGGCGGCGGCCGGCGACAGCTGCGGTCTGGACCGGGTCTTCCTGCGGTCTCTGTTCCCCAGCGAGCTGACGATGTGGGTCGACCCGCGCGAGGTCTCCTACAGGATCGGCGAGAACGGCTCCATCTGCGTCCTCTTCGACGAGCGGGTGGAGCGGCCCCGTGCCGACGGCTGCAAGGACATGGTGCGACCGGCCTACGGCGGCTTCGGCGACCAGTGGTCGACGTCCGAGCCAATGTCTGCCTGCGCCTTCAGCTAGGGCCCTCTCCGTCTCGCATCCTGCCAGCCATAGTGTGATATGATCTCAAGCAAAGTGGTTATTATTGAATGGTGCTAGTGATAACGGAGCACCAGGGCATGTGAGGCAATGTACCCCTGGGTCATTCCGTGTGAACAAAGCAGCTGTCATCTCGCCCCCATATCCCCCTGACCCCAAACTAAGCTGGGACATGACGAACGCGGAACCCATAAAAATAGTAAAACACTGGAAAAAGCTATATGCAACCAAGTCAAGTGATAATGTGTCCGCGCTCGTTCGTGTCCCGGAGTGGTTCGGGGTCGAAGCATCCGAGGACCTCTCGCCCCCCGCCGCCGCTGTAGGTGCCGCGTGCTGTCCATTGGGACGGCCGCCGCCGCCCAGTGAGCTTTCTAAGTCATCCGCCGAGGCGGGCCGTCATGGTTGCTGGCGACCAAAATGGTACATGCCAACCGAGTTCAAATGTATTTGAATTGTTGTTGACATAATTTATTTTGTGCGAACATGCGAGGCCAAAGTGTGCACTGAAAGGCAAGAAGCATGTGATAAAGGAATCCTCTTGGACCTTCCGATTCGCGGGAGTGATGTCATCGATGCTTGTTCTCATCCTCATCGTTCTTCATGGCTGAAAGTCGCCTGCCGCCGGCCCGTGCCGTGGGGCTCATCTCAGGTCGTTAGTGACCCGCAGGCGGACCGGCGGCAAGCGATGTTTGTTCATCGGCATCACTCAAAGGTAAACTCTCTCACCTGCCTTGTCATTTCCATTAATTCCTGTTCGAAAACCGAAAAAAGAAAACCGCAAGTACAAGTCGACTTCGGTCGGTTCTTTGCACAATCATACATTATGGTTCGAAGGATGGTGCAGATAAACCCACGTATTTTATGTATAAAACAGAGAGGTACTTAGTGCGACGCGTATTTACAAATTGCAACCGAGCTCCGCCGTGGGGTAAGGTGGGCAGGGGTTTTCGTACTACGGCTGCGGTTGAACTACCGTCTGTGGTAGAAAGTTCAGGACGATGGCGCGTTTCATACGAAATCTGGCGCAATGTTTGTTTGCTTCTGAACTTGTACTGTTATTGCTGTGAATTCTTGAAGTGGGAGTGTTTCAATAACAATTTGTGGATTATTTGAGTTTCTTTATATAAACATAGAATAATATTATGAAACATTGTGTGGAAACTGCAAATACTGATATGATCAATTACTTAGTTTGGGAGTTGATACACATTTTGTAGCGATTTGTCTGGCAAATGGTGTAACAAACCTCAAGCCTATCATGATCTGAAGCTGCTGTAACAAATCAAAATTGCTTTGATGTTACATAGTACCTTGTTGGAAAGACTGGATACCTTGTTGGAAAGACTGGAGCATGGTTCAAGATGATGTGTAAAAATTCAAGATTTGTGCGAAAGCTTGTGACTGAAGAACGAAAACAGTTCGATATGATGGCTCAATCAAACGTGGAAATGGAAGACAAAAGTAGAGTTTCAACGTTCCAGCATGTGAGAATAACTTCAGAAATTCATAGTTCTTGTAGCATTGCATTCTTTTTATGTACATTTATAGGTTTTGCTAGGTATTTCAATTCATTGTGTCAGTTGAGATATAGATAGATGGATTGCAGAAAATTTGTAGAATCATTGTATGGTAGCTAGGTACTTGTTTGGTAAAAAGGTATGTGATGAATGCCATGAGAAGGTTTGTTTATGATTTAATATATGATTGTTGTGGTACCTACAAAAATGCAAGCTTACTAGCAACTAGTTTCTGAATCAAATCAAAAGTATTTGCTATGAATGTAAATATGTACCTGCAAAGTATGTCAATAAATTTGTGTGATGTTGACCAGAGAGTTTTATCATCTGGGCATTTATGTCGCTTCTTACATTAGGTGTTAAGCATAGTAATTACGGATGAACTTTGTGCCAATATCTTCAATGCACAATGTATGTAGCATGTCTACAACCCTCACTGATCCTGCTATAGCTATAGGCATTTGGCACCAGCTTGACCAAGGGCATGAACTTCACAGTTGCACAACCTTTTGTCATGTACCACCAGTCACTTTTTTACTTAATTAAGGTGCACATAGCACTGCACACAACAATGTTCAGAGGGCCTACACAAAAACAACATGATTAGTGTGCACGATGCAAAGCATTGTACTCTGATTATTTGAATATTTTGATCACTCAACAGTCAGCAGTCAGGAGATAATTATTGAATATCACATTTACCTATTATACATCACTTGTCAAACAAGAGCATGATGACACACATTTTGACAAGCAATCATGGTAGTACCTATTCCAATAAGTTGGACAGTCACCTCCCTGGGCGTCATTTTTCCAGGAAGGTACCTCTGCAGGTGTTGTGGTAGGCTAGGTTGAATTGGGTTAAGTTAGGCGAAGTAAGGTGGTTAGGACCAGGTCAGACCGTAAGGCCTGGTCAGGTTGATTTTAATCTTTCATTCTAATTTGACATATATACCTATTACCTATGTTTTTGCTCCAGCCTTAATTTCATTAGGTAATGAGTTAATTTTGCTTTGTTTTTATCTGTCTTGTTTTGTGTTTTTGTCCCTTAACCCGGCAGTTGCTGGGGTATTTCGCCACCCACCGTTTGCTGGGGGGGGGGGGCGTTAAACGCCCCCAGCCGATAACTCGAGAACCAATAGGCGCAGCGAAACGCACGAGGCGGCAAACGAAAGAACGCGACGAGACGCTTCAGATGAGTACTTTAAAGTTGAATTTTGAGGTCACAGGTGACAGGTCGGGTCAAGGTCAGGTCAAACACCTGAAATCGGGCTTTCAGTAGCATGGACTTCAGGACTTCGCAATGGGCGCCTCTCGTCATAAACTCTGTCAAAACGGTGCACAATCCATCAAATAAGGCCAACAAGAGTGTCAGCTCCATGTAGGGGTCAGTCACAGGCGCGGATCCAGGGGGGGGGCGACGGGGGCGGCCGCCCCCCCCCCATCCGAAAAAGGCGCCCATATCCCGCGGCAGAGAGGGCGCCCCGAGCAGAAGACGGGCGGCACAGCAAAGATTCAGCAGAAATAGGGCGCCTCCAGCAGAAGTTGGGCTCACCAAGCAGGAGAGCGACGCCCAACTGCCCATTCCCAGCAGATGAGAGTCGTCCCAGCAGCAGATCGGCGCCTTCAGCAAGAGAGGCGTCTCATTACAAGAATAAAAATACCTTCTGTGCCAGAGGGGCGCCCCTGGCAGCGGAAGGGCACCCCTAGCAGGAGAGGTGTCCCTCTGAAGAGGAGCGTCGCCCCAGCAAAAGGAGAGAGGCGCCCCATTCCGAGAAGAAGAGGGGCGGCCTGACAGCAGATGGGCGCCCCAGCAAAAAAGAGGAGCTCCATAAGAAGAAAATGGGTGCCACTGGCAGAAGAGGGGAGCCCCCGGCAGCAGAAGGGGTCCAGCAGAAAAAAGGCCTCCAGCGGGAGAGGGGCGCCCCCAGCAAAGTCGAGGGGCGCCCCAGCAGAAGAGAGGGGCCTCCAGCAGGAGAGGGGCGCTCCCAGCAGAATAGGGGCGCCCCAGCAGAAGAGGGGCGCCCAGCAGAAGAGAGGCACCACAGCCAATGTTAATCAGAAATAGGGAGCTCCCAGCAGAGGTTGGGCTCGCCAAGCAGGATAGGGGCGCCCCATTGACAATATTCGGCAGAAGATAGTTGCCCCGGCAGCAGATGGGCGCCCCAGCAGACAGCAGTCGTCGGGTGGCCCCAGTAGAAGAGGGGCGCCCCATTACAAGAAGAAAATGAGTATATTCTACACAAGAGGGGCGCCCCTGACAGCGGAAGGACAACCCCAGCAGAGGGGCGGTGCCCCAGTAAAAGGAGAGGGGTGCCCGCTACGAGAAGAGGGTCGCCCCAACAACAACAACAAAAAAGAAGCCCTATAAGAAGAAAAGGGGTGCCTCTGGCAGAAGAAAGACGTCCCCCGTAGTGGAAGGCGGTGGAAGAGCGCCCCCCAGAAGAGTGGCGTCTCCAGCAAAAGAGAAGTGCCCCCTGCAGGAGAGGGGCACCTCATCAAAAGTTGGGCAGAAGTGGGGCGCCTCCAGCAGAATTTGGGGTCGCCCGACAGGAGAGGGCTGCCCCATTCACAGTAGAAAAAGGGACTCCCCAGCAGCAAAGGGGTGCCCTAACAGAAAAGGTGCACTGCTAGTAAAAGTGGGACGTATCAGGAAGAAGAGGGGCACTTCTAGCAGAAGATGGGCGTCCCAGATAAGTGGGCCGCCTACAGCGAATTGGTCGTTCTTATAGAATGAAGAAATGAGGCGACTTAAGCAAAGTGGGCCTCCCATGAGGGATTGGGCGATCCAAGCAGAGGTTGGGCGCCCCCGGGAGAAGTGAGGCATACCAGCATAAGTGAAACGCTTGCTCGAGATTGTACAGAATGGCGCTCGTCCAAAAGAGATGCCTTTCGGTTTTCTCCCATAGACTTAATATACCTACCTACCTAATGGAGAGGTCGCAAAGCTGACCTGACCCTAGGTAACAGATATCAAAGTTACAAGATATACATTTCATGAATATTGCTGCTTTCATCAATCGCTGAAAGTTTTAAAGTGATCGTTCAGTCGGTGTAGCAATGGTGAGCATTTGAATTGAACTTTTGTCTGAGGTTAGGTCACTTGGCATGACCTGGTGACCTGACCTTGCATCACCCGGGTCTGACATTTTACAACATGTGCAGAAAAGGTGCATGATAAGGTATGCTGAAAATGGCGGCGCTGCGCGCAGCCGTTTTTCACATATTTGCGAAAACCGGAGCGGGGAGCGTGATAACGCCCCCAGCACAGAGCGAGTTTTAAACTCTCGATTTTGACGGTTTGGCGCCCCTTCGTATGAAGCGCCCCCGGATTGCCAGGTCGCCCCTATTTCGACTTGCCGCCCCCCCTCCCGAAAATTCCTGGATCCGCCCCTGGTCAGTCAAGCATAGGTCAGGGTCAAGGTCAGGTCAACCGGGTAGGCACATATCCCCGAAAATCAAAACTGATATTCGCAGCCTGTGACACATGTTTTGTGGGTAATTTGCAGGGGCGCGGGAACTACTTTCCGACTGGGGGGGGCACACCATAGTAGAGATCAACCTAGGGTACCCCCAAATCTAGTTTTCTCACCGGTTTTAGGCCACTTATTTTTCACCCCTCGGCTTTTTCAACAAAAAAAGAAAACATTTGCAAAAAAAGTGTGGTATTCCGTCTCAAAGCTGTGGGGGCACCGCCCCCACGACCCCGGAGTTGGGGGGGGGGGGGGGGCAAGCTGCCCCCACTCCCCCCCCCGGCTCCCGCGCCTATGGTAATTTGGGGCGTAGAACACGATGGAGACATTCATTTTATCATATGTGTACGTGTTTGGCTCAAAAAGTCCAATTGAAGAAATGCATGTATCATGGGCGTGAAGTAGTCACGAGAAATTGCCAAGATTCAGTTCAAGATTTTGGAAAATGCGGAACGATAATCAATAATCGAAGATAGCCTTTTGATTGTCCATGGTATTGGTAGTCTAATGGCGTTTACGGCATGTCTGTATGTCTATTCTGTGATTTTATATGATTTTTTGAACATATGCCGTTTTTGGTCGAAAACTCAGAAATCATGACGTCACTAAAACCTCGATATCTCAAAAAATTTCCGACCGATTTTTTTGAAACTTTGTCACAATACACTTCAATCAATTCCCTACAGGTACCCAAAATTGCAGGCGCGCCGTTTTTATGCTATGGCCCGGCGAAAAAAGTGGGGACGTTTAACGCCCCCCCCCCCCCAGCAACTCGCGGGTTATATTTTGCCCCATAGGCAAGGGTGGAGCTTTTCCAGGGAAGGTGTAGGAGCATGATTGGAGGCGCTCAACCAGACGGCATAGGAGGGCACGGTTTCTGAACGCGCACTGATGCCTGATTCAAGCCACACTGTCTTCATGCGGGGCGGCGCGCTACTTAAAAGTCCCTAAACGAACGGGAAGTGATGCCGATAGAACCTTCAATCATTCTGGGCTAACGCTTATGACTTGGAAAAAGTCGCGATCCCTATTCAATCGAAAACCTGTGGGGCGTGGGCTCTTGTTCAGCAGGAGGTGTATGAAGAGCCACCCGCCATAAGCACTGCTCAACCGCAGGCACAGGTTTAGACGGCGTTGGTCCGCATCAAAGCCAGTGTGCTGGAGAATCCATTGGCTGAAATGCTCCAGAACATTCATCACTGTGTTTTTATGAAAGGTGGCTACAAGCTCAGTTAAAAGAAAAAGTACCAGATTTTTTTTGCTTTTTAATTACAGCGGGAAGAAAGGTGTTCGGATAATTTCGTTACACCCCCTGTTATGTTCAAATGGTTGCTAAATTCGAAATCAGCTCCAAAAACTAGCCTAGAAACATGTAAAACTCGAAAAAGGAACCGAGGTCATCAAAGGTCATTGAGCTGACCTGACCTTCAGGTGACCTTGACACCCACCCTAATGCATGGGACCAGCATCGCTGCATCATATCACATGTTTCAACGCTTGAAACCACGTGAAGACTGCAACCGCGCGGCTAATGCGAGCCGACATACGCCGAATCGCGATTCGGGCCAAACATGGTCTCGAGAAATAGGTCACAGGTCAAAGGTCATTTGGGTCAGGGTAGGTGTAAAATTGATAAAATCGGGGGCACTGAAAGTTTCGTCGCGATCGGACGGTTTTTACGCGAGTTACTCACGAAAAACCGATAAAGCGCACCCAAAAAGGCAGAAATATGCACATGCGATATCCTATACTGCGAAAAAAGGTGCATCATTTTTTAACGTCGCCGACAAATTGTAATTACCCTGAGCTCAGGCAAATGTATGGTAGAAAATCCCCCAAGTGAAATACACTACGGCGGAAATAAAATACCCTACGGCGGAGCTCGGTTGCAATTTGTAAATACGCTAGTGCGACAACTAGTGTAAGTCACCCGAAGTTAAAAGGTACAAATAAGTCGATCATAGCCTGTGATTGGTTTCGCCACGCTAGTTTCTCCCTTTCAGCCGCGCTCTGTCGGCTGCTTTGTTAGCTTTACCAAGTTCACAGATTGACGCGTTCGGGGCGTGCCTGTGTTTTAACCGTCGTGCAAGAGCCCTGTATATAGTGGTCCTTTTCGTTGGCTGTGGAGTGCTCCTGGGATGGCCCGAGCCGGGGCTCACCGTGCACCTGCAAGACGCTTCAAAAATTGTATTTTGTTCGCCTCCGAGAGTCCGCTGTGTCTAGGGTGTTTTGTACAGAAATACATGCTAATTCTGCAAGTGCATACGGTCGTGTCACTGGTTGAACGGGGAAATGAGAAGGGAGGGATGGAGGGAAATGTCTCGAATGACACGGGTTGATGATTCAGACGAAGCTAGTTTGCCACGGAGTTGCGAGTAATTGGTGCGGCTGCAGCACAGGTTCGCTGCTGAGATGATGACACTGGACACGGTTAGGCTAAGATTCGACGGCGGCATATTGACACCATATGTTCTATCGTAGAAACGCACACAGTGGGACTGGTAGCTAGAACACTGCCGATATCGATGTCGGGAGGTTCATTTTGTAGAGCATCTGGTGATCATTCCGAAGAGCGGGATGGCGAGAGGCACTCTCCGGCAGTGATGAAGCATCGGGCAGCTGTGCTACCAACTGGAGCACAGCTCGAATGGCCAGTCATATAGGGAGAAATTGAACGGCTGACACGAGCCGAGGGACTGGAATGTCGATTATAGGACTGGCTTGCCTAGACTGTGTGCCAACTGCCAGTGGCCGAAGAAAACTGTAGATTTGGTTTCGGAATCCGTGACGTATGCTGATGAAATAGCATGTTGATCAATAACATTTCCCTTTGTCGCGGTAAATTCATGGTAAATATTTCTTCTAAAGAGGCTCGAAGGTTTTCCACTACACATTTTTTGTTCGATGGTAGACGATAGCACTAACAAAGTGGTTTTTCGTTAGTGATAGCCTGTGGGATTTTCCACTGTGACGTCACTACCTATCGTTCATGAGCAGCTCTCGAACTGCGCAGTACCGTCCAGGATATGTGCCCATATATGAGTTCAGTACCTGACATCATCCTCATTATAAATGGGTGCATAGTACACTTTCAAGTCGTGATGCTTCATACGTCCTGAACGAGCGTCTATGTGAAGAACTATATGTAACGTGCTATCTTACGGAGCCATCTTACATCGTGATCTTTGGCTATACTTTTGAGACCTCCAGACCACATTTTGATTAAGTCCGTTCCAGCAGTTTGTATTTCTAAAAATGAGGGCGGCATAAACATGTCAGCTTATGCTAAATGTTGTGCATCAGCATACACAACTGTGACGTCGTCGCAGCCATACTGTGGCGTCCTGTTAAATCAACAATCTGCCCCAACTAAGGAGACCGGGGACTGCTCTAGAAATGCCATTGGGGATTGTGCCTGGTGATATTGCAGTCTGAGTGGAGTTTATTGTCCTGAACCCCTTACACCAATCTACCCGCAGCAATGGACGAATGTTTGTGTTCTTTGTTTGTATGTCTGGCGATCTTACCGACCCGGCTCCCAGTTCCGGCAACATTGACCAAATGGTGTGGACATCGGCAGACGTGCTCTCGAGTCCTCGTGTGCCCTGCTGTCTGTGAGCTTATAGATAGTGCCCTCCGACCTCCCACGCGCGGCGCTGGCACTCTCCCGTCCGCGCTGCAACGATTGCAACATCCGGGAAGGGGCTCTCTAAACCGGTCAGCCGGCCGCTCCCTACTCCGTGCTCCGCTCGAGCCGTCCGACCGGCCCCGTGCCGTGGCCTCGGCCCGACCGGCCGGCCGCGGACGGAGCGGCGCTGGACGGCCGGCCTCTGAGCGCCGCCATTGTGTGTCCACTGCATACAGCGAGGCTCGGCCGGGCCCCGCTCTCGCTGGCCCCTGATAGATGATTTCAGCTGCAGTAACGCGCTAGTATGTATGCTGGGCTGCTGCAGTACATCATGGCCCACTCCTTATGGAGTCAGATGTATTCCATCACCGATAACTGGCATGTGCCAGTATAAACCGGTACCTACATCGTGTCCCAAATCAGAGGATCCATCTGAGCTGTCGTCTTCTCACGTTGAACCGTCGCGGTACACGGTCGCTGCCAACCAGGCTAGCCTTCAGCCGTGCTCCGCTTTCCACCCCTGAGAGCGCTCGCTGCCGCTGAAGGATTTCTGCCTGGCGACTGTTCCGCTCCACGTCCGTGGCCTCCACGGCTGCGGGCTCAGTTTCAAGGAGAACGGCCGCTGACGGCGGCTGGCGCACACGGTGAAAGCCTGTACGGCCGAGAGCTCGGTCCGACCGCCTAACCACCGCTGTGGAGAGCGCGCCCATCACCGTGTCACCGACACCTGGCCTGACCCGACCGCGGTGACCTTTCCCCAGCTGACCTGACCTAGCGACCTTTCCCGACGGCCCGATCGCAGCCGGGCGGCGCCGCTCGCCAGCTCAGCGGTTTCTCATTTGACGGCCCTCCCGGGACGGGGTGGTCTGGTCTGTCAGTCCGAACTCCGAACGATTCGTTCTCGTCAGCGAGCGAGCTGGACCGTTCACCCAGGCTGCTGCCGGGCAGACCTGGACGGCAGAGGCGGAGTCAGCCACGATCCCTCGGTAGGCTGGACCCTGGGCGCGCCTCTGCCGCTCGACAGCGGGTTCTGTGTATGACTGGCCGTACGATCCACGGCAGATGTCGGCTCTGGTCCACTGGTCTGCCAGACGCGGCCGGGTCTCTGGTCTTGGTCCACCGCGCTGAGCGGACCCGAACGGTGCCGCACACGCCGCGGACACAGCCGCCGGCAACAGCGACTTGTAGCGATACGCTGCCATTCCCAGATTTGTGCCCAATATGCCGTGACATGACTGGTTCTGTCGATAAATGGTCGGTTTCCCAATGCTGCCTGCCACGGAATATGGCCCGTTTTCTGACGAATTTCGCCGCAATATGGTGGCAATATGGTGGGTGACTGTCGTCAGGCGAGTAGGACAGAACTCTGGCCTTCAACTCTAGCCCTACGTAGTAAAATTTGAACCTTACCCTTATCGCTATCAGCATTCAGCCATGAACTGCGCATTCAGCTAAATAAACATTTAGTGCGACGTTGCAATATTACTGAGCCCTCGCTGTATGAAGCATTTCAATGTTATGTTCGTTGTTCATTGTTCAATGTTCATCCTCTTTTTATGGGTGGCCATGCTCCAATTTGATGGACGCCTTACATTGCTGCGCATATGCCAGACACTGTCGGCGTTGT